GAGGCAGACCTGGCTGGCCCCAGACCTGGGGCTGCAGCACATTGTATATTCTTGCTTTCTCTGTTATATATTAACTGACTATAAAGGTATGGGTTTATTTCTGGACTCTCCACTCTGTTCCATTGATCTATGTGTCTTGTTGTTATGCCTGTACCATGCTGCTTTGATTGCTATGGTCTTAGAGTATAGTTTCATATTAAGGAGAGAGTTTCCTCCAACTTTGTTTTTCTTTCTCAGGATTGCTGTTGCTATGTGGGGCCTTTTTGGTTCCATACAAATTTTTGAAATATTTGTTGTAGTTCTGTGAATATGTCATTGGAATCTTGGTAGGATTTGGGTTGAATATATAGACAGCTTTGGGTAGTATAAACATTTTAATGATGTTAATTCTTCCTATCCATGAATATGGTATGTGTTCCCACTTATTTGTGTCTTCTTCAATTTCTTTCTTCAGTGTCTTATAATTTTTCTAGTACAGGTCTTTTACATCCTTGGTTAGGTTTATTTTTTTTATAACAAGTGTGAATGGGATTGTTTTCTTAATTTCCTTTTCTACTAGTTTGTTACTGGCATGTAAAAGTGCAATTGATTTCTGGGTATTAATTTTGTATCTTGCTACTTTGCTGAATTCATTTATCAATTCTAGTAGTTTCATGGTGGAATCTTTGGGCTTTTCTATGTAGGTATCATGTCATCTGCAAATAATGACAGTTTAACTTCTTCCTTTCCAATCTAGATACCTTTTATTTCTTCTTCTTGTCTGAATGCTGTGGCTATTCAGTGCTTCCAGTGCTATGCTGAATGAGAGGTGAAAGTGGATTCCTTGTCTTGTTGCCAGTCTTAATGAGAACACTTGCAGTTTTGTTGACTATGATACTGGCAGTGGGTTTGTCACATATGGCCTTTATTATGGTTAGGTATGTTCCTGCTAATCCCAATTTGCTGAAAAATTTAGTCTGTATCATAAATGGGTGCTGGATTTTATCAAATGCTTTTTCTCCATCTACTGATATGATCATGTGGTTATTATCCTTCATTCTGTTTATGTGGTGAATCACATTTATTGATTTGCCAACATTGTACCAACCTTGAATTCCTAGAATAAATCCCACTTGGTCATGGTGTATATTTTTGATGCACTGCTGAATTCAGTTTGCTAATATATTGTTGAGGATTTTAGCAACTATGTTCATCAGGGATATTGGCCTATAATTTTCTTTCTTTGTAGTGCCTTTATCTGGCTTTTGAATTAGAATAATGCTAAAATAAATTTTGAAGCCTTCCCTCCTCTAGAATTTTATAAAATAGTTTGAGAAAAAAAGGTGTTAGTTGTTCTCAAAATGTTTGGTAAAATACACCTGTGAAGCCATCTGGTCCAGGGCTTTTGTTTGTTGGGAGTTTTTTGATTACTGCTTCAATTTCTGTATGTGTCATCTGTCTATTCAGATTTTCTGATTCTTCCTGATTTAGTTTTGGAAGATTGTACGTTTCTTGGAATGTATCCATTTCATCCAGGTTATCCAGGTTGTTGGCATATAGTTGTTCATCATGTTTTTTTTATAATCCTTTGTATTTCTTTGGTGTCAGTTGTTATTTCTCCTCTTTCATTTCTGATTTATTTATTTGGTTCCTTTCTCTTTTTTTCTTGATGAGTCTGGTTAAAGGTTTGTCAATCTTGTTTATCCTTTCAAAGTACCAGCTCTTGGATTCATTGATATTTTGTATCATATTTTAGACTCGATTTTGTTTATTTCTGCTCAGATCTTTATTATTTCCTTCTTTCTACTCACTTTAGGCTTTGTTTATTATTCCTTTTCAAGTTCCTTTAAGTGTCAAGTTAGATTGTTTATTTGAGCTTTTTCTTGTTTTTTTGAGATAGGCATGTAATGCTATGAATTTCCCTCTTAGGATTGCTTTCCTTATTCCCCACAAAGTTTGGCTCTTTGTGTCCTCCCTCATTTTCATTTGTTTCAAGGTATCTTTTGATTTCTTCCTTGATCTCCTTGTTGACCCATTCATTGTTTAGTAACATGTTATTTAGCTTCCATGTGTTTGCATGTTTTTCACTGTTCTTCCTGTGACTGATTTCCAGTTTCACAGCATTGTCATCAGAGAAGATGCCTGATATGATTTCAAACTTCTTAAATTTATTGAGACTTGTTTTTGTCCTAACATGTGGTATATCCTACAAAACACACTCCATTTTCACTTTAAAAGTATGTATATTCTGCTACTCTATGTTGAAATGCTGTGAAGATGTCAAATAGATACATTTGATCTAATGTGTTATTTAAAGTCACTGTCTCCATGTTGATTTTCTGCCTGGAAGATCTATCCATTGAAGTCAATGAGGTTATAAAATTGCCAACAATGACTGCATTTCTGTCAATCTCTCCCCCTTTATGTCTATTGAGATTGCTTAACATATTTAGGTGTTCCTATATTGGGTGCATAAGTGTTTACTAGGGTATATCTAGTTGGATCACTCCCTTTATTGTTATGTACTGTCCTTCTTTGTCTCTTACTATAGCCTTTGTTTTAAAGTCTATTGTGTGGGATATAAGTACTGCTGCTCTACCTTTTTCCCTTCTATTTGCATGAAATATCTTCTTCCATCCCTTTACTTTTAGTCTGTGTATCTTTCAATGTGAGATGGGTCTCTTGGAGGTAGCATATATATGGGTCTTGTTTTCTTATCCATTCAACTAGTTTTTGTCTTTTGGCTGGAGCATTTAAGCCATTTACATTTAAGATGACTATTGATAGACATGTATTGTAGTGCCATTTTATTTTTAGACTATTTTTTCTTTTTCTTTTTCTTTTTCTTCTTCTTAAAGCAAGCCTTTTAACCATATTCTCTGCCTGGGTGTTTTTTTTTCTACCTTGTCTTCCAAATCACTGTTTTTGTTCCTCTGCTTCATCTAATCTACAGTTTATTACTTCCAGTGTATTATTTATTTCAGATATTGCATTCTTTATTTCTGACTGGTCTTTTTTCATAGTTTCTAAGTCTTTTTTCATGGTGTCAAGTATCCTTATAATCATTACTCTAAACTCTGTCTAATAAATTGCTTACTTCCATTTTATCTAATTCTTCTTCTAGAGAATTCTCTCGTTCTTTCGTATGGGGTCTGTTTCTTTGTCTTCCCATTTTGGCTGCTGCTTTATATTTTCTGCCTTAGTTGTTAAACTAATCAATGCTATAGCTTTTTAAGCTGCAGTCAGCAGCCAGGTTCAAGCACCACAACGTGGGTGACAGAGTAATTCCTGTGGGTGAGGCTTTTGCTTTCCCTTAGGCCGATGCCACTTGGAGAGGAGTGCTCTGCCTAAGCAAGGTGGCTTGTGCAGTATGGAGAATGACTCACAGGGATCCTGGTATCTGTCCCATCAGTCCTCTCCCCAGATCCACCAACCCCAGACTCTCCTCAAGCATTTCTAGTCCAACATGCCCTCCCTCTGCCTGAACTCAGGGTAAGTGGCTACAAACAATAGTTTGTGCACTGGCTCTTTTTAAGAGGCTTTCTGCATCTTTAGCTGTCTCTCCCTGGCAGACAGAAATCCTGCTGCTTTTCATCTGGGCTCCTTTCTGGCTCTAGTGGGGTAGGCTGGGGAGCCAAGATTGGGGTTTAGACACCACACTTCTTGGGGGGAATCCACAGCTACAGAAATATCCCTGCAGCACTTCAGCTGCCACCCAGGGGAGCCAGCCCTCTCATGCCTCTTCCACATTCTCTACCAGTCTCATTGTGCTGAAGGGGTTTCTTTTGTCTGTCTGTAGTTATAATGCTTCTCTCTAGCTAGTATTCAGTTGGTTATTCAGGATGCTTTCTCTACAATTTAATTGTTGTTTTCTTTTGAAAAGAAAAATTAAAATTTAAATCAAATAAACAGAATAAAAATAAAAAATAAAATAAATAATTAAACAATAAAAAATAAAATAAAATACCTTTTCACAGATCACTACTCAGCAATATTCCTTTCCTGGCCTGTCACCTGTTTTTATAAACAAAGGTTTATTGGAACACAGTCATGTCCATTCATTTATATAGTTTGTTTGGCTTTTTTCATGCTACAGTGTCAAAGGTGGGGAAATGTGATTATCTGCCCTACCAAGTCTAAACTATTTATTATCTAATCCTTTAAAGAAAAAGTTTGTCAAACCTGACCTTAGTAGACTACTAAATAATCTTCTAACTATTCTCCACACTGTAGCTTGAATAAAAGTTTTAAGAACACAAATCTGATCATTCTTTTTCAGAGAGAAACCCAACCCCTTAAGGTAACTCCTCTAAATTTTCCAACTCCCTACACTGCCACTATCCAATTCAACCTTTATGTGCCAGTTAATTCTATTTTAATCTCTTCAAACTCACGTAGCTCAACTCTTTGGTCTTTCAGAATATACTATGACTCCCAACTGGTACAACACCCTACAGTTTTATACCAGCTAACCCCAGGTCACTGCTCAGGTTCTCCATGTTAATGTTATTTTCTCCAGAGAGCCATCCCTGACCCTTTGAGCTGGGATTATGTGGTCCTGAATTTCCTCTGTCACTGACATTATTAAACTCTAATGCATAGTTCATTTTTAGAGCAAATCAAGAGCCATACAGGGCAGAGATAGGGTCTGTGATATAAACTATGACACTCCTGCAGCCAGTGGAGACTAGTATGTACAAGGCATTCATACATTTTTGTTGAAATAAATTTATCCTTTGCATCATAATTCTGAGAATCCAAAGAACTTCCTCAGTGACTCACCAGAAATAACCAGGTAGATTTAACCAATGAAGATAAATAAATCATGCATAACCATGACAGAATAAATTGATACCAAAACCTGAAAACCTAGGAACCTACAGAAAGACAGTATCTAAGTACACCCTGGACTTTTTAGTATACCAGCAGAGAAAACCTTGATCTTTAGAACTTATCATTCTAGATCATATTTAATGAAAACAACAAAAATAAGGAAAGTAAAATGGGTGTTCTCCCATTACCTGCTCTTCCTTCTCCTTTTCTTTGGTTTTACTTCTGTAGACTCTAGCAGAGGTGGCATCCTGGGATGGAATGGCCGAAACCTGATGCAGTGGCATGCTCATCACAGCCTCCTGTCTCCTTATTGTCTTTACAGAAAAGAGTGTCCAGTGGGAGAGTCATTTTGGGCCATGGACTTAAAGCTAAGAGAGAGAGAAGACAAGATACAACTTAGCTAAAACACTTTTCACATTTCCAACAGTGAAGTTAGGGTTTTATATTTAAATAAGTTACAATGCCTGACATAAATACTTGGTCTTCAGAAATGATAGAAAATGAATGAATGTGAGGGAAATTGTAACATTTTTCTCAAGTGATAAAATGGAAGCACCTAAAAGAGGCTGGTGAATCAGGTACATGTAAAAGATAATCAGTTATTAATTTTAAATTGACGAGTTGGATTTTAAACATAGCAGTGCTATCCTTTGGTGTAAAAATATTTTAATAGAAATACTTTTTTCTGAGTAAGTACTCATCCTGATATAAGCAGTGATCTCTCCTTAAAACTGCTGCCCTTGAGTCCACATAATGGTAGCATTAAAGGTTAAGAAGTCTAAAATAAATTTAAGATACCTATGACCTATGCATAATCTTCTAAAATGTTAGACTCTCTAGACCAGTTGTTAGCAAAATTTTCCTGTAAAGGACCAGATATGATGCTAAATATTTTAGGCATCGTGGGTCAGATTTGTTACAACTACTCACTTCTGCTGTTGGAGCATGAAAGAAGTCATGGCAAGTATATAAACGAATGTGAATGGTTATGTTCCAATGAAACTTTACTTACAAAAGCAAATGGTAAACTAGATTTGATCCACGGGCTTGCGGTTTGTTAACATCTGCTCTAAAGAATTTTTCAAGGAAGATGAACATCATCATCGACATTTCTGAGACCATGAAATGGCTGCCCTTAGTCAAAATAACAGTGTCTGAATCTGCTATATTCAATGATCTTAGGCACTCCAGCTTCTTTTTCTAGTTTTCTCTTACATTCCTCCAAAGTGCTTAGTAATTAGAATGTATGTTTTCTCTCTTTCTTCCCCAGCCCCCACTGAGATGTATCAAACTCTCAGATGTATCAAACAAAACCAATTAAATTATCCAAATCATCCATAAGGTTTAATGTAGTCATATTTCATGCTGTTAAAATTTTAACAAAGAATATCAATCTTAAACCCCTCAAAAAATGAATCTCTAATTTGGGGATTTTCATTTGTTAACCAGTGTACTAGGGATGGGATGGTAGGCAAGGAGGGTAAACAGGGCCTGACAACTCTAAGGTCACATCTGATGGGCAGCTATTTCTTCCACTTCTCCCAAAACTCTGCTCTGCACCAAAGATAAGGTGTTTGTGAGGCTGGTCCCACTTCTGACAGTGTTACTAACCCAGATGAAGAGCAAGAGGACTCATAAAATGAATTTCCTTCACAAAACTCTGATCAACAAGCAACAGCAATACATAAGAAATGAGAGGGATCAACATATATGAGAAAATTAGCTAAAAGAATATACTGTTTTAGCCCTGGCTGGGTAGCTGAGTTGGTTATAGCATCATCCTAATATGCCTAGGTTGAGAGTTCAATCCCCGGTCAGGGCACATACAAGTTATCATCCAATGAATGCATATATAAGTGGAACAACAAATTAATGTGTTTTTTCTTTTTCTTCACCCCTTCCTCCCTCTAAAAATCAATAAATAAAAATTAAAATAAAGAGTATTCTGTTTTTAAAAATCTAGATTTATAATAGGTAGGTGACCCCTGATAACCAAAAACCAGGAAAATAAAGTAGGTGGTATTACTGTCTAGATGTCATAATAAATAAATAAAATTTTAGTGTTTAGATATTATACATCACCTACTATATTTCAAGCCTTTGATGAAGGGGGCACAAGATGGCGCACCATACACAAATGGTCTGAATATTTGTGTTGACATACACAAGATAAGAGGCATGTACTTACTGCTGAGTTCTTAACCCTCTGGGAGATTGCAATAGTCAGTGGTGAGCAATTTTTCATCACTAATGCATTAAAGGTCTCTCTCACAGATGACAAACTCCATGTGCCTTCTTGGAATACTTAGTCAAACTAACCATGCCTAGATCCCCACTACATATTATGCCAATACCTGCCTTTGGTGTTTACTGCATAATCATCATTACTGTATCACTGCTACAAGACCATGATAAACCTGAGGAGAACTGTTTGCCATAGAAACACAAATGTGGAAAGACCTTTAATTTTCTGCAAATTAATTTTCTGCATATTTGAAAGACCTCCCTCCTTACAGCTCCAAGTAACAGACCTGAAAGCTTGCCTAAAGGAACCCCTCTCCTATGCCAGGAATGTTTAATATAAAAATAACTTTTAAATCCAAACTAAAGAGGGATCCAAGATGGCTGTAGAGAAGGTGGATGCTACACACACTCCTCTTGAGAAACTGGCTTTACAGCTAAATTGTAGAAAATTAACCTGAATGACCAACTGAAGGACAACTGAACAGGGGTATTCTAGCCAAGGATTTATAGAAGCTACATAGAGACTGGTAAGAAGGGTGGAGACACAAAGAAAGCTAGTCCCTGCTCCCAGGTGTGGCAGCTGAGCAGCGAGAAGGACATCTCAGCTGTGAAAGTCCTCCTGAGGAGCATGGGGTCTCAATCCATTTTGGGATCCACAAACCAGAGCACCAGGGCCAGGAAGAAAAGCCTGCATAGCCTCTGGCAGTAAAAATCAGTGGGGACTCTGCTGGGAAGAGGAAGGAGTCTGCTAGAACCCCAGGTGCTCTCCTAAAGGGCCAATGCACAGGAGCTCACTCTTGGGTACTCACCCAGGGCTCTGGTAGATGAAAAGTGATGCAAGGCATACAGAAGACATAAAGAGAAGATCTGGGTGGCCAGGCTCCAGAGAGAGATTTGCAGGGTCAGCTGCTGAGGTCCCTGCCCTGAGTCCCTATCCCACAGGGTCAGGCACTCCTATTCTTACAGCACCAGCTGGTGGCAGTGCACTAACATGGTCCTCTGAACACTGGAGACACCACCATGCCAAGGTCGAGTCCAGCAGAAAGGACTGCTAGCTGCACCCAACAGAAACTTGAGGTGTGCTTATTTTCTAGAAAAACTATTGGTTTGTCCACAAAGTCCACTCTGGGTTTGTTTTTTTCCAAAAAATAAAAGACACATTCTTTTCATTTTCACTAATAACTTTACTGATCTGGATATTTTGAGTATGTCGGCTATCTTCCGCTATTGGCTTTTAGTGGGTAGAGGCCAGGGGTGCTGATAAACATCTTCCAATGTACAAGACAGCCCCACAGAAAAGAATTATTTGGCCAAAATGTAAATAGTATCAAGAGACTTCGCAAACCACATACAAGTCACAGCACCTTCTCCATACACTGTACAAATCCTTTTGAGTTTCAAATGCATTTTTACCATTTTTGAAATAGTAAAGTATAATACACCAAAAATATTGCACATTTTCTTCCATCTTCAATATTAAAATGGCTATACAAAAATTCACCAATTTTGATACTTTTTTTTAAATGTATGCTGATATTAGAGCTGTCACAATACAATCTAAAAAAATACTTTCAAATGAAGTTAAAGACAACTAAGCACTACTAGAGCCATTGTATGGAAAAAAAACTAAACAAACTTTTTGGCCAACCCAATATAAACAGACTCTCAAGACAGTCATTGAACTGTGTGGCTTTGGAAGAGGGGCCAACCTTCCCTCACTCTTGGAGGTTTGATAGGTGCAACCTCCAATGGAAGACTCCCTTGTCAGGGTGTCTCTGGCAGTGTAGTTAGAGATAAGGACAGGTGTGAAGCTTACTCTTCTCCAATGGGCCTACACCACCCCCGATGGAGGGCTGCCTTGATCTTTTTCCCCAAGTCCCAGTGGCCCAGTCCTGCTGAGCTCAGTTCCATGGGGGTAAGGAGGAATACCTCAGAGCTGGGAACTGCATGATCTCCTCAGACCCTCCCATCAATGTTTCTAATGGTGTAGCTGCAAAGCTAGGTGGAGATGAGCAGTTCCCTCCCCTCCCAAGGGCTCTCACCAGCCCCACTGGAGGGCTGCCTTGATCTGTTTCAAGTCACGGAGGGCCAGTCCTCCTGGACAAAGTTCCAGCATAGAAAAGGGAGCACAGCTCAGAGCTAACACCTTCAGACTGTGGCTCCAGCAAAATCTCTGATGGCATAGCTGTGGAGCTAGTAGGAAATGTAAAACTTGCTCCCATCATATGGGCCCATGCCACCCCCAACAAAACACTGGCTTTGAAATGTTTTTGTAATCGCTGCTGGCCCCATCCTGCTAAGCGCTCAGTTATGCAGAGGAGAAGGGAACAACCCTCAGAAAGAAGACCTTTGGATATGTATCCCTCAAAAGCTCCAGTCTAGGGCACAAGCTGGCATGGCTACAGAGCTGAAGGGAGAAGTGTATGTCGCCCCCTCCAGTGCCCCAGCTGGTGCCACCAACAAGAAAAGGCTGTCTTAATCTGTTTCCTACATCCTGGTGGACCCATCCAACCAAGCTTGCTCCTGCAGTGGGGACAGCTGGTTGCACCCAACCTGAACCTGTGGTACACTCCTCCTGGGAGAGCTAGAGTTGGAGACTAGGAGAAAATGAATAGTATGGCTCTGGAGTAGGGGCCACATGTGTGCCTGACCACAATGCCCCCAAGTATGGGACAAACTAGTACTGTCCTCCCAACCTGGTCACCCAGTCCTACAGAGCTTGAGCCATATGGAAGGGTCAGTGGGGCATGATTAGCTTTGGGCCCACTCTGCAGCCTTTCTTCATAAGACTCTGAAAGAAGTACAGGCAACCTGAGGAAAAACCAAAGTACCCAACAGGTGAGCACCAACCTCAGAAAGCCTTGGACTTTTATTGATCTGCCCCCAGCTCAGAACTTCAGGAAGGTGATCCTGATACACAGCCAAACTCCTCCCATACACATCCTGGGCCAGTAGACACAGCTACAAACAGGGAATAGCATGGTACTTCCAGATATCCCAAGGCTGGTTACATACAACATTTGGCACAGCCCTGGCCAAGAAGACCTAGGACCAACATAAACAGTGATGGGCTTCAAACCACACCAGAACTCAACCCAACTAGCCACAAAAATTGCACAGCCAA